TGCCACGGGAAATGGACAAGAAGATTGATATCAAGGATTTTGTGTTACTTGAATCAACAATCAATGGCCATAGTAGAGCAGCAGCTCCGAGCTAGAATAACATATTGCATTGGGGAAAATCTGCTGAAATAGACCTCTTTAAAATGTTAAAAGGTGAAGATGTCATTTTGAGGACTAAGGTGTGCCTGCCCCAAGCCACAACCTTCTCAGTGGTTTTATATGTATGTTAGGTTTTACATCAACTTGACTGGACCAGATCCTCAGGAGCCACTCTACTTCATCTATGTAGATAGACGTCATGGAGACACTCTCTACTTCATCTATGTAGATAGACGTCATGGAGACTCTCTACTTCATCTATGTAAATAGACATCATGGAGACTCTACTTCATCTATGTAGATAGACCTCATGGAGACTCTCTACTTCATCTATGTAGATAGACGTCATAGAGACTCTCTACTTCATCTATGTAGATAGACATCATGGAGACTCTCTTCCTTTTTACCCTGCTGGCTTGGCTCCTGCATCGGGCTTCTTTGGACTTGGGCTGGTGGCCTGGTGATCCTGGGAACCTAACATCTGTCTGCTGATCCAGCTCTGCATTCACCAGCCATGATCTTTCTACTTTGCTTTCCTGGTCTGTCTTCCTGCTTCCTGGTGCCCCAGCCCAGGAAGTTAGGAAAAACGGCCAACCTCACAGCCGAAACACGGACTTGAAGGAGACTGGACTTAACCACCTCTACAACTGGGTGAGCCACTTTCTTGAATATGTGTATATATATAATCTTTCTAGAGAACCTAGCCCAACACAATATGCATGCGAAACATAGACAATATGTAAGGAGACCCAAGAACCGATGCTTCTGAACTATGGTGTTGGCAAAAGGTATTGATGGATGACTGCATGGACAGCCAGAAGAATGAACAAATTTCTTGGAAGTACTGCCAGGATGCTCCTTAGAAGCAAGGGTGGAGAGACTTCATCCCAGGTATTTCGGACATGCTCTCAAGAGGGGCTAGCACCTGCTGCAGGACAGCATACTTGATACAATAGAGGGTCAGACAAACAGAGGAAGACCCCCAACAAGCTGGGCTGACCCAGTGGCTGTAAGGATGGGCTCAACATAGCAAAGGCTGTGCAGCTGTTGCCAGACTGGGCCACGTTTGGTTCTATGAGTCGGTACCCAGAACAATACCAGTGTGTACTATTTGGTGAGGAATGCTCTCAATCTCCTGGCCACTGAAAACCAGGCCTGAGATCCTATGATTCCCTGGGTTCACACCCCTTATCTTATTACCATCTAAGCCTACTGCCATTAGGCCATTCCGACTCATCATGACCTTACATGGCCGAGCTGAACTGCTGCCTATGACTTCCAAGACAATCAGTCTTTAGGAGAGCAGTCAGCTCATCTCTCCCATGGAGTAGCTGGTGCGTTCGAACTGTTGACCTTGGAGGTCATAGCTGAACATGTGACCTGCAACCCCAACAGCCTACCAGACCCGCTTATTCTCCAACCTGAACTATTCTCTTTCCTTCTGATGCTCACCGTTTTTGCTTGAGTATTACAATCTCTTCCTAGCTGCTCTCTCTGAACTCTTATAATTGGACAATATAGAGTGTAAGCTCCCTGGAGGCCAGGCATTGCAATCTGTTCATTCATGCTTTCCTCTCAGCGGCTAGGAAGGAGCCTGGCACAAGATGGGTGTTATCTGTTGAATGCAGGCATGGGTAAATGTCCGCCATGTTCCTTCCCAGCCTCATGTTCCATTCCACGTTCCCCTCTCACCCAGCAACCCCAGCGGAGTGCTTAGACCCCCAAGCCAGCTGCTCCTCCTGCCTGCACATGCTTGACTCACCTCTGCTCGTGCTGTAAGACGCAGCTCCCACATCAGTTCCTCGGAGAGGCTTTCTAGCACTCGTTCTGTCTACATGCCCCTCTTTCATGATCCCCCAGCACCCTGTGCATGCCTCTCAAACAGCGTTTGTCATGCTTTCTTGTAGGAGTTGGGTTATGTTGACTATAAGCTTTTTGAGGGCAGTTTTTGGCCACAATCTGACCCATAAAGAATATCCCATGAAGTTCTGTATTCATTGATGAGGCATATTCCTTTTGACTGAACATTATATATATACAGTGAATCCTCGTTTATCGCGGTTAATCGGTTCTAGACCCTACCGTGATAAATGAAATTCCGCGAAGTAGGATTCCTTATTTGTAAATCAAATATTTTCGTAGTTAGAGCATAGAGGACATGAAAAAACACCCTTTTGTCACCATTACACTCGTATTACCCAATTTATTAAACGAAAAAGGGAAAATACAGTAAAACATTTTGGACGTTACAATTATCATTTATTATTTATTATATTATTTATGGCATCAAGCGTGTACAGTATGGGCCAATCAGTGGCAGTAATGACAGAGCATGCGCTGTCACGCAAAAACCGCGATAGAGCGAAGCCGCGGAAGTCAAAGCGCGAAGTGGCGAGGGTTCACTGTATATATATATATATTTTTTTCTTTCACGTTATACAGGACACTCTCATGGTCTTGGCAATATCTGATTGTTTTAAAGCTTGATAGTGAGTGCATTGGTATTCTTTTACGGACATAGGTATTAAAAAAAAGGACATGGGTATTCTTTTTTTTCTATGTATGAAATGCTAAAATGATTTCGAAGATTATTTTTGGAAACTTGGACCCAGCTACCAATGTCTGCACTAGACTTTGGGAACACAGAGATGTGTCAACACAGACCGTGCCCTCCAGTTGCTGGGAGAACTTTGAGACACAATGATGTGTGTTAGGAAGTGTTACAGGTGATATTTTAGGGACCGATTGGCCTGAGGGAAGTCAAGGAAGGCTTCCCGGAGGAGGTCTCCTTTGAACTGGGAGGAGAGCATGTCAAAGTAGCGCAGAGTGCCACGTTCGATGGCGTGTCCTGCAAAACTGACTGCAATTGATGAGAGCAAGTGGGGACAGAATGGCGAGGGCCCAGCCTGCCACCCACAGGGGTCTCTTCTTCATGTGTCCCTGGGTCATAGGCAGCCATTGAGGCTCCCTGTCCACAGAGAGTGATGTGTCTGGATCCATTTATCTAACACCAAAGACAAACAGCACTCCTGGCTGTCTGGCGCTACTCCGTCTCCATCTTCTTTCTCACTAGGATTCAAGTCCACTCCCGTCTATCGGCTCCTGCATGGATGCTGGGCAGCAGAGTGGCTGAAGGGTCAAGTCCACCCACAAACTGAGTAACCGACAGACTAGAGCTGGGACCCAGCTGTCTTATCCCCCTGCCTAAACGATTACCCTCACCCCCACTCCCTCTGTGTGATGGGCCAGGCTTTGGCCATACCGACTGGACTAGGGAAATCATGAAAAAGAAAGAGAAATGGCTCTAAACTTTTGGGGGAACTCTTAGCCTGAAAATACAGATGCCCCCCCCAAAAAATAAAAAAAATAGAGAGGGCAGAGAAAGGAGCAGTTAGGGGCTCTTGCTATCAGGCTTTCGGGGCCTGGTTGGGGGACTCTGTGGAAACGAGTGTGGAGCAGGTTTGGGAAAGCAGAGCAGAACAGGGTTAGCAGGAAAGGTGGGAAGTACCCACGTAGTTTTTGGTGGAGGGCGGAAACAAATCCTGTGCTGCATCCCCACAAGCACTGTTGCCTGGCAGCCTCGGGGTCGATGTGGTTCTTGTGTGTGCAGGCTATGTGGCTTTGCAGGGGGTGTTGAGTGGGAGCAGAGGGCCTGGGCCGTTTCTAGCCCCCACTCTCCCTTTTGCAGTAGGGGGCATCCTTCTGGAAACCAGGGTGCTTGGGTTCCAGACTCTTCCTTCCCGGACCTCCCCCAGACATAAATCAGAAGTGATTTCATTAAATGCGCCTCCTGCTGGGGCCATTGGCTCATAATTCCTCTCTGATTAACCCCCGCTACCCCAGCAAGTTTATAGGCCAAGAGAGGGAGGGGGGAAAAGGGGTGGAGAGAAGGAGGGATGGGGGGAATCCCGGGCGGGTGATGGATGCTTCTGTCAGCCCAGCTCGTATTTATTAATAGTCTTAATACGGGAAGCAATAAAGGAAGAGAGGGATTCTATTAATTAAATCATTGTTATAATTAACTTTCATTAAAGGAGGATCAATAAAGAGGGGTTGAGATGGAGAGAGGAGAGATCCATTATCTCTAATTTCCTTGGAAGGGATTCAGGGAATGAGATGGGGTTGCTAGGAGACAGAGACGTGAGTGAGCGAAGGAAGGATGTAAGATGTCATCCAGGTGGGCTGGAAGCTGGGTGGGCTGGAGGGTTTCAGGTGGATGGAGAGAGAGGATGGTGGGGGTGGCCCAGCCGGGGGCCCAGAAGGGATGGGAAGGTAGGTGACACTCGAGCTATTGGGATAGAGAAGCAGGGGGGCTGTAGGCATAAGCTTGCCCAGGGCATTGCTGAGACTTGGTGAGCACGCGGGGCCTTCATACATGACGATGCTGTGTGTATCTGTCTAGCCGGCGGAGCTGGTGCGAGTGGATGAATGTGTGTCTGTGGCTGTGGGGTCGGAATGTGCGCGTGGTGGGCGAGGAGGGCTTCAGGCATGGGAGGAACACAACACAGAGCATCCTCAGAAGCAAGGTGCTCAGGACGTTTTTCCCAAGGAGATCCCCCGAGGTGCCTGCCCTTGGGCCCACAGTACAATGGCGGTGGCTGTGGCAGGTGAAGGTCTGAGCAGTGGAAACTGCCCCCCTAAGGCCCCTCCTTCCACTGCACCCTCGTCCATCCAGTACCTTCTCTCCATTCACCCCAAGCAGAGCCATCCATTTGCCCCGTTCCCCTGCGGAATTTCCCAAGCCAGACCTCCCACCCCAGACAAAGGTCTTCATCCCCTCCCTGCTGGGGCCGAGGGCCAATACACCGGGAGGTACCATGTCACAGCTGCCCGCCCTGCATCCTCCTCCCTCCCTCCAGGAGGCAGAGAGAAGGCTGGGTGCTCGTAGCTCGAGGCACACGCATGGTAAGAACACATTTTATTAGAATAGTTATACATATCATATAAATATATCTGTCTATACTACAGGCAGCGGGGAGGGAAATCCGAGGGGAAGTTTTATTGCTGTGGGAGGGGGACCCGGAGGAAGAGGAGGTGCTGAGAAGGGGGACACCTCACCTGGGACCACTTGCTCCCCCCCTCACAGAAGGCACAAGAGAGCATTCTTTCTTTCTCTGTGAGGATGCTGGGGGGAGGGGCAGGAGATAAAGCCCGGGAACCTCCAAAGTATCAAAGACACCCCTCCCACCGTAATGGTCTACTGCTGTGGGGAGAGGATGGGGGGGGGGCTCGTGGGCACGGCAGGAAGGAACCCAGGACACTTAGAACCGACAGAGGTCACTGTGTCCACGCTGCTGCCTGGGTGCAGGCTGACCTTCAGAGAACACGCAAGTCGACAAAGGCAAACAAACCTCAGCTACGGGTGGGCGGGTAGGGGTGTGAGTGTGTGTGAGTGGGGGTGCCTTGGCATCAGGGCTGGGGAGAGGGAGAGGCAGCCCGGGCTACGAGTGGATGGTGCTATTTCCATAGGCGAAGGCCTCCTTCATCCTGCTTCCTCCACAACTGCTTTCGGGAGTACATTCAGCCACTGCTTCCAAGAAGGACCCCTGTCTGGGACACAAGAGCCGGGCGGGAGAGGATGAAGTTAGCGAGCTTGGGGGAGCCAGGGGGCTACTCGGAATAGTTCTTCGGGAACAGTCTCATGGAACCCAGCGTGAGGGGAGGGAAATAGGCAGGCAGCCTACATGTCCAGCTGTGCATGAGTGTGTGTGCGCGTGTGCCTCTGTGTGTGTCCTAGGGAGAGGAGAGATCATTCAAAGGTGAAGGGGTCCTGGGTGCTGAAAAAGAAGTGTCGGTCCATGTGGTCCTCCAGGGTTTCCTTGTCCCTCTCCGCAGGGAAGCGCTCCTTACAGATAGGACACTCCTTCCATGGGGGGGGGATAGGGCCCCCAGTGCTGGCCTCTGACAGGGGACCCACTGCAAAGCCGCTAGAGAGAGATGGGGGGAGAAGGAGAGGGTCAGCGTGCTCCCTGCCCTTCTTGAAGGCACACCTCAGGAAGGGGGTCCAAATGTGCCTAACAAAGCACCC